AATACGCTTGGCATAGTATCTAAGCGTTGGTTGTGATAATTATTTTGCCCCTTGGCGGTAAGTGTGCTGCTGAAACAATACGAATCTGCGCGTCGTTAAACGCTTGTACGCCACGTGGCAAATGCAACGTGTTCGGCTGTGTCGGGCAGTGGTTGGGAGGGTTCTTGAGACAACGTAGATTGGGCCGGATCATTACATAGTGGTCCAATACTAAAAAAACGTCATCCATTATGAATGAAATGGCTGTAAGTTCAGGTTTAAGTACACCCATCAATTCGGGAAACTGAATCTCGTAGCCACGCGAGACTGTCGCCTGACCCGCGGAATTCTATATTCTGGCGAGGGAGTTGGAGGCTAATCGTGGGTCGGGAGGCGTAAATTTAGTAAGCCCTCTCTCCCCGCATCCAATCTAAACAATGGTAAACAGCTGCGATTGAACTCTCCAACGCAGGCTGGCGACTGAGATATGGGCGTCCCAGAGGCTGCCAGGGATTTTGGGGGAAGGAGTCAAAAGGACAACACGTGCAAACAGAGGGGCCGCGTTTGAATGTATCACCTCCCGAGCTCAGAGATTGGGTTGCCACTTCTGAGTTACAAAACAGCCGGAACATATCATGGGAACTAGAATATCTAACAATGCCGGAAGCAGGGAGAAATAACGCGTAAATGTGTACTGTCTTGAGCGGTGTACTGGTATGCAACTGACAAAAAAACCAGGGACTTTTAAAGTTCCGGGAAGATTTACAGATTTCCCTGGACAGATACTTAGAAAAAAAGAGGACGTTCTGGGAAAACCAGGACAGGTGGCAACCATAATCAGAGCTGGATGCCTGTGGTTGTTGTTGTTGATGATGATGATGAAGAAGAACTCCATGTGCCTGGGTTCGTGTTCTGTGTTCTAAACGTGCAGCAAACGCTCACCAGAACTTCAGTTGCCGCATCCAAATGAAGGAAATCAAAAAGACCTCCGGAGTAATTATAGTATACTGGACGCATAACACAAACGGTGGTGGGTTTTTTATTTTATTTTTGGTGCGGTGATATTTGTGTCGTTAGTTACAGGCAGCTCAGCTGTTCGCGGAATGTATACCCCCACCACAAGCAAGCAATCTGACGGCCACTTCGCTGGTAACCGTGCACCCTTCTGTAGCTGCGTTTTCGGCCTTTGTCCAGCTCCGCGCGTGTGTTGAACTTCTTTCGCGCCGTACGCAACCAACCGCGACAATCGGAGAGCCACGTGTCGTTTGGCTCAATGTCCCGACGTTTTGGTTTCGTCGGGAACCGAATTCAATTCGTTCAATTCATCACGAAGCTCCCATCATCTGGTGCGAAACGTCAAAACATCGTGGCCCAACGGCAGGCGGTCCAAGCGTAGGGAGTTGTGTGGTAAATCAGCGAAAACCTACGAATCAGTGGTGCACCTTCGTCTGAATATATATAACGGCGGTGTCGCATTCATTGGAGAGCTTGCCCTTACAAGAATGTTGTTATCATCAGGGATATGGGAAGAGCCTCGTAGCTGACACGACCGCTCACCCTCCCGGCGTCGCACTCCCACGGCAAAAAGAGGGATGACGATGTTGAATAACTGCACGAGAACATCGGGTGGATGCTGCGGACACCCTATGCATGCACAGAGAGACTCTCAAGGACACCCCACGGTACTGAATCCGTTGAAAAACTTGACAACTTTTGTGGAACGTCGGGTGAACGAACCCACCACTCGCATTCATCGCCCCGGAAATCTCTCTGATCTTCACTCCAGTCCAGTCAAGGGCTTCTATCAATTGTTCCTATTCCACAAAATGACACAGCCATCACGACCACTAAAGGATGGAAATTATTTTTACGCGGCCATATATTATTTTCCATGTTCTGTTATCGTTGCGCATGCAGACATCAGATTGGGGCGACTAAGGTATTATTATTTTAACAATCGAAAATTGTGCTCCAAACAAACCATTTGCGGTGACCGATTGTCGACAAAGATTGCCCGAATGCATCACGGCCTTCACATCCCGACGAAGGAATCATTACAGGCCATCCACAGTCATCGCGATAAACACCGCACGCTCCAAATTAGACGCGTTGAGTCACTGCGTAAAGAGGTGCCACCCCCCACCTGCACCACCCCCGTCCCCCCCCCCTGTAGCCCAGGCACGGAAAGTTCCACTATCGTCGTCGCGACTATTTTATTTGGAACTTGACCTTTCCAAACCGAAATCTAAAACAAACCAAAAAAGAAACGGTCCGGGTCGCGAGGCGCGTGCTGTACTGGTTGCTGCGTAATAACTCAACGATTAAAAAAAACCCACCGCGGTACGTGGTTTAACCGCACAGCACACGTGGCAGGAATTGTGATTACAGGTCTAAAACTTTATGAGCCCCCCCCCCCCCCCCCCCCCGGGGGGCAAAGGTTGCTCGTGACGACCCAACGGCGTAGCGCGGTTGGAATCGACCCCGATGCAAGAAATGAAATTGGAACGAAACAAAAAATGATCGTCCTCTGCCCCCTGTCTGCCCTCCCGTCACCCCCACCGTCTTTATGGTCTGGCACCTGGGGCCCTGAGACCCAGGGACCCCCCCCCCCTCCTCCTTTCGTCTCATGGGTCGCAGTGCAATTGCACTGTCTGCACACTCTAGATTTTGGCCTGTGCGGGGGTAGGTTTTTGGTAGACCCTGGTGGAAGGAATTCCGCCTTCTTCGTCGCCTGGATCCCTACAGCACGATGGGTACCGCAAGCAATATCGCCGCAATGCATACTCGGGACATTGAGCCATACTCGTGAGCAGTAGCACAAACTTTTTACTTGACATTTGATGACGTGTCCAAGGTGGCTCACATGTTTGTATTACTATCTTACAGCACTGAGCCAACACCACTGATAACCTTGGTTCGATTCCAGGCCACCACCATCCCGTTTCGTAAACTGGGTAATCAAGCGCAATAGGTTGATGGCCCCAAGTTCGATCACCAGAAAATGGATAAGCAGTCGCCGAATTTTCTTCATGTGTCTCTCCAAATAAATAAATAAATGCTTCTTACGCAACCAAACTGCCGTCTGGGAGTGCGAAATTCCTGCAACATTCAGGACAAGCCGACTTTGGATCGGTTTTAACGTGCAGTGTCTCATCAGCAGTAAGCCTTACTTGAATCAATGCCAGCTGTTATAGGTGACGACCCTCTCTTTAAGATGAGTCCTATTTCCATTCAAGATTATATAATGCATAACGCAAAGTACAGTATTAGCATCGCTGCTGTGCTAAAAATAAATGACAAAACAGATGTCTCATTCATGTACATCGTTCATAATATCCGGTTATCATAATTTTACATCAGTATTTTTTTTACTTCATATAAACCTATCCAAGGTTTAAAAATGTGGTTTTAAATGGGGGGAGCCCTTTGCAAGGCATTAACAAAAAGTTAACCCAGAGTGTGGATAGAAGCCTCAACGAGTTGGGAAGTCGTTCTTGTGACGTCTTCACAGACTGGTCCGACAAGGTGGTAGGGGACAACTGCATTCTGCGAGTTTCTAATTTTTCTTGATCTCATTACATGACTCCAATAGCATTAACTTGAAAATAATTTGGATCTAAGTAAACACAATATATCACTTATTTCCTAGATAAAGTAGCATAAGCCATCACGCGAACTCCGGTCATCCTATAGCAGCAGGTTTGTGGCTGGCCATTGACTAAAGACGCTTTCAAATACGCTTCTCAGGCCGTCTGGAACACTTCCTTCCGATGTTAGGAAGCCACTGGAGCTATGCACTTTAAATCTAGATTGAAAACTCACTAAATTACAATTGCTTTTTGTTTAGTTGTACTTCCCTGCATCTACGTACGGTGCGAAAGACGTTCAACATACATACTCTATTATTGACTTTTGGTGTTTGTGCAGCATGCCCAGATGTAACCCTGGTGGTAAGTTATTCTTTATTTGACCAGGATCGTATCGATACATAATACCACGATCATTCGCACGGCCACATATGTCCCCACATGACGCTGGCAGGAATTGTTGCACAATTGCAATGTGATTTGTCCCATTGAGAGGTGAGTGGGGTAAAGAAGGTGCAGTCGAAATATCTCCAAGGCGCCGCGGTGGCGAGATATTAACCTCACCTGGTATATAGGTCGTGAATCTGATCCCAATCCCGACCTTGACGCCTGTATTGTTTGCATCTCTTCCCGTAGTTGCTTGTATTTTTCTCCAGTTCCTCTCCACATTTGAAACGTGCTTGAGTATTGGGACTGCTCTAAATGTCCACATCAGCCACTTCGTTGAGCTATCATTTATGGCCAGGTTGCTTCTAAGAGCTATATAGTTCAGTGGGCCTTACCTGGTAATTATTTTAAGTGGCGTTTAGTTGATCTCGGTGCAGTAATAGCATGCGTCTTATCTACAACCCACACAAATGCGCTTCTCGATTCGCACTCTTTGGAGGATGTTTGCAAACCACTAGTCCAATTGTCAATGGGGGGAGGGAGAATACCTAAAAATTTACTTTGAACGAATCACTGGAGTTTTATTAAGTTTGTATGACCATGAGGGTGCATAACATATGCATGCGATGTTCACCAAGTGCAAAATTCCAGATTTTAATGTAAATTCACATCTGGAAAAACCTTTCCGTGTTAAAGCTGCAAATATAACCCTCCTGCTCCAATGGACCCAGCTTTCCAGAAAAAAAATAGGGTTGGACCCGACCAATTCAACCTCCACCTAAAAAAATTGTTCCAAACACCTTACAAATTGTACTTTAGAAAAACTCGACACCGTGCCTCGGGGCTGCTACTTAAGCATGTAAATCAATTTAAATTTTATCTTGAATTTCAAGCCTTACCTGTAATTTGCCAGTTTTTTCACGGTACAGTACTCGACAAAGACCAATGCTACATAGTTCCAGACCTTGCAGAAAGTCTCCCATTGTACCAGTCCATGGGGGTTTAATGAAACCTGATCATTTCAAATATTTAAAAGCAAAAACAGAATCCATTCACCATAAATCTTTATTATTTATAATGCACAAACATAAAGTACTTTCGGCATCTAGTGCGTATAGATTAGTGGAAATCCAATGTTAAGGAATCGTTTGCTATAACTCCATGCAACATGTAATATATACTAGAGTTGCACAATCTGTAAAAAATGTTAACCTTTTTAAAATTATGCTGGAATTAAGACATTTAGCCAGGAATGTCGAAGGTAATTTGCTAATTTTAAATGCCCCCACGGAGACGCAGGACCAGGTGGAGGGTGGATTCTTTCTGGATGTTGTAGTCGGACAGCGTGCGGCCATCTTCAAGCTGCTTGCCCGCGAAGATCAGTCGCTGCTGGTCAGGAGGAATGCCTTCCTTGTCCTGGATCTTGGCCTTCACGTTCTCAATGGTGTCACTTGGCTCCACCTCCAGGGTGATGGTCTTGCCCGTCAGGGTCTTCACGAAGATCTGCATGCCACCACGGAGACGCAGGACCAGGTGGAGCGTGGATTCTTTCTGGATGTTGTAGTCGGACAGCGTGCGCCCATCTTCCAGCTGCTTGCCTGCGAAGATCAGTCGCTGCTGGTCGGGAGGAATGCCTTCCTTGTCCTGGATCTTGGCCTTCACGTTCTCGATGGTGTCACTTGGCTCCACCTCCAGGGTGATGGTCTTGCCCGTCAGGGTCTTCACGAAGATCTGCATGCCACCACGGAGCCGGAGGACCAGGTGGAGGGTGGATTCTTTCTGGATGTTGTAGTCGGACAGCGTGCGCCCATCTTCCAGCTGCTTGCCTGCGAAGATCAGTCGCTGCTGGTCGGGAGGAATGCCTTCCTTGTCCTGGATCTTGGCCTTCACGTTCTCGATGGTGTCACTTGGCTCCACCTCCAGGGTGATGGTCTTGCCCGTCAGGGTCTTCACGAAGATCTGCATGCCACCACGGAGCCGGAGGACCAGGTGGAGGGTGGATTCTTTCTGGATGTTGTAGTCGGACAGCGTGCGGCCATCTTCCAGCTGCTTGCCCGCGAAGATCAGTCGCTGCTGGTCGGGAGGAATGCCTTCCTTGTCCTGGATCTTGGCCTTCACGTTCTCAATGGTGTCACTTGGCTCCACCTCCAGGGTGATGGTCTTGCCCGTCAGGGTCTTCACAAAGATCTGCATGCCACCACGGAGACGCAGGACCAGGTGGAGCGTGGATTCTTTCTGGATGTTGTAGTCGGACAGCGTGCGCCCATCTTCCAGCTGCTTGCCTGCGAAGATCAGTCGCTGCTGGTCGGGAGGAATGCCTTCCTTGTCCTGGATCTTGGCCTTCACGTTCTCGATGGTGTCACTTGGCTCCACCTCCAGGGTGATGGTCTTGCCCGTCAGGGTCTTCACGAAGATCTGCATGCCACCACGGAGCCGGAGGACCAGGTGGAGGGTGGATTCTTTCTGGATGTTGTAGTCGGACAGCGTGCGGCCATCTTCCAGCTGCTTGCCCGCGAAGATCAGTCGCTGCTGGTCGGGAGGAATGCCTTCCTTGTCCTGGATCTTGGCCTTCACGTTCTCGATGGTGTCACTTGGCTCCACCTCCAGGGTGATCGTCTTGCCCGTCAGGGTCTTCACGAAGATCTGCATGCCACCACGGAGACGCAGGACCAGGTGGAGGGTGGATTCTTTCTGGATGTTGTAGTCGGACAGCGTGCGGCCATCTTCCAGCTGCTTGCCCGCGAAGATCAGTCGCTGCTGGTCGGGAGGAATGCCTTCCTTGTCCTGGATCTTGGCCTTCACGTTCTCGATGGTGTCACTTGGCTCCACCTCCAGGGTGATCGTCTTGCCCGTCAGGGTCTTCACGAAGATCTGCATGCCACCACGGAGACGCAGGACCAGGTGGAGGGTGGATTCTTTCTGGATGTTGTAGTCGGACAGCGTGCGGCCATCTTCCAGCTGCTTGCCCGCGAAGATCAGTCGCTGCTGGTCGGGAGGAATGCCTTCCTTGTCCTGGATCTTGGCCTTCACGTTCTCGATGGTGTCACTTGGCTCCACCTCCAGGGTGATGGTCTTGCCCGTCAGGGTCTTCACGAAGATCTGCATGCCACCACGGAGACGCAGGACCAGGTGGAGGGTGGATTCTTTCTGGATGTTGTAGTCGGACAGCGTGCGGCCATCTTCCAGCTGCTTGCCCGCGAAGATCAGTCGCTGCTGGTCGGGAGGAATGCCTTCCTTGTCCTGGATCTTGGCCTTCACGTTCTCGATGGTGTCACTTGGCTCCACCTCCAGGGTGATGGTCTTGCCCGTCAGGGTCTTCACGAAGATCTGCATGCCACCACGGAGACGCAGGACCAGGTGGAGGGTGGATTCTTTCTGGATGTTGTAGTCGGACAGCGTGCGGCCATCTTCAAGCTGCTTGCCCGCGAAGATCAGTCGCTGCTGGTCGGGAGGAATGCCTTCCTTGTCCTGGATCTTGGCCTTCACGTTCTCGATAGTGTCACTTGGCTCCACCTCCAGGGTGATGGTCTTGCCCGTCAGGGTCTTCACGAAGATCTGCATGATTAAATCTGAAATAAAATAGAAAGACAACCCCTATCCGGTTATTCCCCTTGAAAACACTTCAACATTTTTCAAACCCTTTCATTTCCGCTTTCACAACACAGTACAACACTGCTCTGTATTGCCCAATAAAGATACAGCAACAGCGCTAAGTTCAAGGGTCAAGTTGAATGACGTTCAGCGTTCTTGTTAAACCAGTTGAGTCACTCCGGCATCCGCCGCCACTCCCAACCCCCAAATTAATTGCATCGTCAGCTTTCCCGTTTGTACAAAGTGTTCAAATGTAGAGGGGGGGGGGGGGATACACTTTTTTTATTCTACCAGGTTAGGCCCAATATGTTAACAATAACAAACAGTATTTTAGGATTTGTATAAAGAAAACATATTTTTTTATAAAATGGTGACAGCCAATAAATATGGCGTCTCATGTTCATCTTGTTTCAACTAAAAAAGGTTTTTATAGTTAACGTATTGTATACACGGTATTTTATAACTACGCAAAACCTATTATTTTTAACGGTGTAGTTTGTTACAAATTAATAACTACGCAAAACCTATTATTTTTAACGGTGTAGTTTGTTAAAAATTAAAAAGAAACAATTACAAACGATTACCTCTACATCGCATAACCGGGCGGCGAAAGAAAAAAAAAACCCATGACGCAGCAAACGGGCAGACGTTATTCAAAAAAGTCACGTTTCATAACGTTACAAACAGAACGCTCAACCCAAGACAAACATTAATACGCTTAACGACAACGTATAAAGCAGTAAAAACATCGTAAAAACCTTTCGTTTAATTAAAGGAACAATTTTAATTTCACCTCAGACGCGACGGCATTTCGACTTAAAATGGCGTCGCGGCCGAAGCTTCACAAGCGCCAAACTCTCTCCGCCCCAACCAACGCGTCAAACAACTTCCACCTCCCCCCACGGGCATCGCGATCTCCAACAAAATATCGTTAACATTCGAAATAATGTTTACCTCAGAACTGACCGTTTTGGGTGCACGAAGCGGCGAAAGAAACTCCTCGCGCAGACGCTGAGAGAACGGATCGGCGAAGGAGGAAAAAAGCAGTTCGGTTATGGAGGACGGCGGCACCGCGGTCGGTTTATATAGCGCCGCGTGTATCCATCCGCTTTTGTCTTGCGCGGCGGCGGAGGCGTCTGCGGCGGCGTCACCTGCCGAGGGCTACGCTCGCTCCCCATTGGCTGACGGTCGCGATCACGCGCCAATCACGCGCGCGTACGTGGGCGTCGGTGGGGATTCTTTTTTTTGGTGTCATTCTGTTTGTCAGCATTAATTAAAAGCCACCACAATTTCGCAGCGTCATCGTCGTTTGTTCTGCCGTCAAACCGGTTGTGACAAGAGCGGGCAGCCTGGTAGTTCACGTTAGGCGGTGTTAGCGCTACGAACCCCGGCAACACCGGTTGCGATTATCTGAACCGGTTCGGGGCCCCCGTTCCTCCAGCTTCAAACGAGTAACCTGGTGGCGGTGTGTCGTAAACATCGCCACTGGGGAGACAAAGGCGGCCGGGACGTGGTGCTCGCCAGCCACCCCCTCGTGTGTCGTGCCGGCCTTCATAGGTGCTCGCTCACAGCACTTGCCCCAAACAGTCTGTTAAGGCGACACGGGGTTATGTGTCTGGGTTGTGACATAAGGACACCGATACAGTCGATTATTATGTTTAGTTCAATGAAGGGACCTGGTTCAATGAGTCACCATTCAACAACAACAACACCCCCCACCCAGCAACCACCATCCATTCACGACGAAGTTGTTGAAGTGACAAAATCGCTCAAAAACGCGACACACTCGTCGTCAACACCTGTACAATATACCGTGGCCTTAAAAGGGCAAAACACGCATGATATGCGAAGTTCCGGGTAAATGGCAACTTCTTCAAAGTACATCGTTTACAGTGAAATGTGGTAACTAGGGTTTACTGAAAATGTGGAAAATAATACCCGCTCACAAGGGGTAGTTTTTTTATTTGTTACTAAATAGATGGCCAGTCCAAGGGGAAACCCCCTCATAATTTAAGGAACACTGCAAACAATCGTCTGTAAGTGATGTCCTTCTCAAATGCGTATTGAGGTGGTACTAGCACATTAACTGCCCTGTGCCAGTGGCGAAACTCCACAATTGTATGTCGGGTGCGAGTGTATTCATATGACAACCACAGTCTTCCCATGCACATAGTGGTACGTATTTCTTTTATCGACCACGGAGTGATGATGGGCCGAGCCAACAACCCTCAATCATGGGTCGCTCGCTCTACCGCTGAGCCACATGGCAGGACAATAGACAAAGATCCCCCATAAAGGCCACGCAGGCTGTTGGGGCAAGTGCTTTCAGCGAACACTTATGAAGACCGATGAGGAAGTGGTGTAGCCAGAACTACACGCGGCTGCCTTTACTCGTTTAAGGCCGAGTAGACCTAGGGGAGGACCAGGTCCGGTTGAGATGTTCGCCACTGGTGTTAGTCGTGGCCCGGGAGTCGAACTCTGACCCCCGAGTTCATCAGTGGGCAAACCACTGCGACAAAGCTCGACTGATACAGAATGTGAATTCCAGAATATTCCTGTACTCGACATATCCCTGTATACGGCATCATGCCACTCTTTATTGCTGTAATCATACCCACCACAATACTACGGTAGATTCTACAGCCATCACACAAGAGTTGATGATTGAAAGGTAGCGGGGGGAGGGTGTTGAATAGCTAAATCATATAACCAAGATTTGAAGTTTTCGTGACTGCAAGAATTCATACTCTCTGGGTTTTTCGGTAAAGTCACGTAGGTAAAAACTTCAAATATATTAAATCACGACGTTTCGGAGGCAACACAAGCTTCCGTCTTCAGGTGGAACCGTCACAACAAAATTATTTTTTTACCTACGTGACTTTACCGAAAAAACCAAAGAGTATCATATAACTTGTCACGAACCCACATGCTTGACATCGAATTACATTATGGGACCTCTAATTACAGCCACCAGCAGCAAACCTTTATAGCTTCGCCACCATCACGATTGGTTAATCTCTTCCGTGACCATTAACCGTGCGTTATAGTCGATGACTCAGTGGCGTGATGACTACAAATAGTGAATAATAACAATTGTCACCAACCACACCCGGAGGAGCAAAGAGAATGACGTAAATTATTTGCATTCACCGTACATTCTCAAATACCGCATTAAAGTGCCATGCAAGATGTGACATTGGTGACATCAGAAACTTGAGGTACTACTAGGTACTACAATATTAGAACTACTGCAAGTGACTTTACCGAAAGAACCAAAGAGTAATTCCTGCAGTCACGAAAGCTTCAAATAAAATATTAGAACTAGTTTTTACTAGTATACGGTATATGGTTGGATGCTTTTATTTTATTTTTCTTATCCAAAACCTATTATCCGTGACCCTATTATCCACAATTATCCGCGGATTTTTGTTTATACTTTGAGGAACGTAATGTAATGTAGAATAATGTAATATACATTACGTGCGACTGCAGATTGGAAAACAAGAATAGCTGGCTGGGTCATGTAGCAGTAGACGAAATGTAGCCGAATCTCGCCGGTGAAAGATACCGTAACGACGTATGATTTTTCCGTGGAAAGTCCCACCGAGACTCTCAATATTCTTCGTTCCGTGGGGGATTGTTGGCCAATTCCAATGAATTCGTGATTCGTGGGAGGAAACCAGAGGAGAGACTCACGCATTTGAGCGGTTATGCAACGGTGGTGGTGGTCGTACATTGAACAAACATGCAAACTGGTGGAGGGCTTAAACAATCTCAAACAAAGCTGGCTTTAGCTACCGTGTCCAGATCTGACGAAATCCGGCGTATTCAGGGTGATCTGGTCATCATGTGCACACGTGGGTTTTACGTGGCAACGGGAAGATGTTAAATCATGTGGTGTCGTGGCAGAATTTGACTTATCTAATCCATAAAAAATGTACTAGAATAGAAATAATGTACGTTGTCGGAAAGGGTGTTTCCGATGGGGTTTTAAATAAACGATGACGGTATATACGGTATTTAAAAAAACACGTGGTACGGTGTATATCTCAAACTAGATTCGAAGCTTTCGTGACTGCAGGAATTACACTTTGGTTCTTTCGGTAAAGTTACGTAGAAAATAAAATAAAATCATAATATAATACGACGTTTCGGTTGCAACACAAGCAGCCATCATCAGGTAAGAATTAATGATAAAACACAGACACGACAACATGTTGATGGTTGCTCGTTGCAACCGAAACGTATTCTATTATTTTATTTTCTACGTGACTTTACCGAAGAACCAAAAGGTGTAAATCTCTTTAAATGTTAAGTATCCTACACGCAGTGTAATACAATATTTTAAAATCACGTGTATCGATGTGCCCCGCGTTCTACTTGTAGTAATTATCGGTGGACAGAGACGAGGTTACACAAATAAACTCGCCCATTATTTTAACTACCGCACCAAAGGTGCATCTATTCGAACCTGCGATCTCGAATGTAGGGCTGCAAGTCCAGCACTGCATTGATAATTAAAACCATCAACACCGCCACATCATGGTATCATTTGGCACTGGTCGCCATGCCATCTCGTGACCCAGATAATGTTTGTTAGAACCGCAAACACAGCTGCAGGATAAGCCATGAATTGTGGCTATTCATCGAACTCTGGCGTCTTGCCATCGAACGCGCCCGAACGATGGTTTCTGATTAAGATATCTCGCCTAGATATAAATAAAGTTGATCGGGACCGTAGCTTCGTCTTATTTTCTATAGTTTTTGTTAAATAACACCCCCCTCCCTCCCTCCCAACTACTTTACCCGTACAGGAATAGAGATTTGTAACAAACATATACGTAATGCGTTTTTGCAATCCGTTCCAAATGTAGGTCATTCATTCGTGAGTCTGTGGGCGGCACTTGGAAGGTGGCGGAGCGGTGGCGCAGCGGTTAGCGCCACGAACCTGGGCCTCCTCCCCCTAAGTCGACTCAGCCTCAAATGAGTACCCGGTACGGTGTGTGAACATCGCCGGGGGGGGGGGGCGGGGGGAGACGAAGGCGGCCGGGGCGAGGTGCTGTCCACCCACCCCCTCGCGTGTCATTCCGGCCTTCGTAGGTGCTCGCTAACAGCACTTGCCCCAGCAGTCTGTTGAGCCTACACGGGATCCCTTTGCCTTTGGAGCTTGTACGGTGGACGTGGGGTGGGGGTTGTGGGGAGGGGCGAGTTGGAAGTCGGGGGGGCGGGGCGAGTTGGGAGTCGGGGGGCGGGGCCAACCCCAAATTGGGCGGCGCTCGCGCGGACGAGTGGGAATGTGGCCCCGAGGGGGGGAGGGAGGGGGTGGTAGAGAGTAGAGGGGGGCGGGGTTACTCGGAAGCCCATTTGAGTAGGCGGGGCCTATCTGGGCGGAGCCAAACGCCTCCGAGCAGCCAATCGACTCGCTTTGCGCAGTCCACACCGCCGCGCCCATTGGTCGAGCCTGTTGCTGGGCAGAGGCGTCCTCGAATTCTCCAGCGCGCTTTTGCCGTGGCCGCGAATCTGATTGGTGGGGCGCGCCTCGGTCGCCGGTGGGGAGCCGTCGCGCTATTGGCTGGCGACCGACAGTGCGCGCTACGTAATGCAAAAAGCGGGTTACTGCGGTATATTTTTTTGGTTGTTGTTGTTGCCGGCACTGGTACTACCCTGCATATTTAATGTTATTTACTTGCCTTAGAAGCAACGCACAAGCACACTCGCAATGAATAAAAACGGCACGCGAATGCATTCACGAAACAATGTGTTCCGCGCGTTTTCGCTCGAGCAAAAAGCTTAAGCTGGTTGCCAAGTGTCTATGCCCAATGGTCGAATAATAAGTCATGCCCCACTTGTATCTTGACTTAAAGCTTTCGTGACTGCAGGAATGCATATTCTTTGGGTCTTTCGGTAAAGTCACGTAGATATGTTCAAAGAAAATAAAACTTACGACGTTTCGATCGCAACAAGCGGTCGCCACTTGTTTTAGTGGCATTAAAGTTCCCGCAAAAATGTAAATGTACATTTACTATTGTACCTTGCTGCAAACTAATGTACGTGCAACATATATAATCTATCATTCCTGGTCGTAATTTCCCTCAAAATAGGGATGTAAACGTTATT